TTCGCCTTCGCCTTCGCCTTCGCCTTCGCCTTCGCCTTCGCTTTTTATCTTTTATTTTTTATCTTTTATTCCTTATTTTTTCGAAAAGAAAAAGAAAAATTGAAAAAGAAAAAGTTAAAATATTCAAGACAATTATTCATTTTTTTATATTCAAATCCCTTTTCATATTCGTTCAAGCTTTCCGAGTATTGCAATATTTATTTAATAGCCTTTTCATCAGTTATCCTATATAGACAAATTTATCTCGTTTCGTCAACATTTTCTCTGGTGGAATGATTTATCATCTTGCAGCAACTGATTACCGTAAAAACGAGTTGAATGTAAGCTTTCATTAGATCGGGAAGTAATATTGCACCTATGCAGTTCTTGCTGATTACGAGGAAAAAGGAGATGCTATGTTAGCAATTGTCATAATACGTCATAATTATCATCATTTTCTAGAAATAAAGAAGCAAAAGCTTCCTTTTTATTCATTGTTATTCAAATTCACGTATACTGTACTCGCATCTCTTAAGGATATAGAAAAATTATACTTATATTACATTCTGCATATAATTAAAATTGTATTTTTTTTTTTTTTTTTTTTGGATATTTCTCCTTTTACTTGTCTATTTTTGTCACTAAGATTTGAGCAAGACAAAAATATTTACTACTGGAAGTTCCATAAATATTCCCATCATTTGTGTGTGTGTGTGTGTGTATTAATAGCATAGTTTAAAAGTGTAACGACTTGTGTCGAAACTATTTGTGGTCATTTGATGCAAAACGAAACATTTAGAATCCGAACGGACAATAGTGGTTGTTTCACAATTGTAAAATAGTCGATCAACGATTTGATAGTCAAAATTTACCAGACCTGACTCGAATATATAATGAGAAGGCAAGGAATCGTATATCATTTGCATCACGTTAAAGAAACTATATTATTCTTCAGACTCGATAGTCACTCGATCGTTCTTGTCCCGACTGAACTTTTTTTTCCCTTTTATCGTTTAATATCCATCGATTTTTCATAGATAATCGTGTATTTCTCGGTAAGTAAACGTTTAATACTCAAAAATTGAAGAAATTGAGAAACTGGATAAAATTATTGCTTATTGTACAATTCATTGTTAAATATACGACGAAAATATTTATTATTTATTTATTTATATATATTTATCATTATATATTATTTATTTTTTATTTATTATTCAAATCATTCAACAGTATTATAATTACGTATACTATATATATCCTTTCCTTATTTATTTAATCAAAAAATATTTTTTTCATTCCTTGTTACAGGTAAGATAGAGATTATCATCCTAGAAGATATATCTATCTATATCATCATCGCACGACGAATCGAATCAACAACAAGATATCATTCGACACCATCATATCGCGATGAATCTCGAACATTACGCGATACTCATTTTATCTTTTCTCCTTCTTGTATATATTCTTCACAAAAATCGAAAAGGCCGTCGTCTACCGCCTGGCCCCTGGCAACTTCCGCTCTTTGGCTACCTTCCATGGATCGACCCGGAAAAACCTCACGAAACTCTGACGAAATTGTCAAGAGTTTACGGCCCCGTATGCGGATTCCGCATGGGCTCCGTTTACACCGTTTTACTGTCAGATCCACAACTGATACGTCAATCGTTTGCAAAAGATTCCATTACGAACAGAGCACCTTTGTACCTTACCCACGGAATCATGAAAGGTTACGGTAAGGTTTTCTCTTGTGCCCTATCTCTTACCCGTCCATCCGTCCGTCGTTTATTGCTTTGCTCCAGGTATAATTTGCGCGGAGGGGGAACAATGGAAGGATCAGAGAAAATTTATCAGCAACTGTCTACGAAATTTCGGTATGGTGAAGCACGAAGGAGCGAAACGTGACAAGATGGAGAAACGAATATCGGATGCAGTTAACGAATGCGTATCAGTAGGCTTCAATATAACGATCATTAACTCTCTCCCCTCTTAATAATTGCTCGGATAGAAGGAGTATAAACGATGATTTCTTTCCTCCTTCGTCTCTCTCCTTCTTCCTTTTTTCATTTCGTATACGCAACAGGTATTAAGAAATCGTGGTGCGAACGGCCCGATCGATCCGTTGGACACGCTTCACCACTGCTTGGGCAATCTTATCAATAGCATCGTGTTTGGGAAAACGTACGAGGAGGATGATCAAATTTGGAAATGGCTGAGGCATCTACAGGAAGAGGGTGTGAAGCAAATTGGCGTCGCTGGACCGCTCAACTTTCTACCGTTTCTCAGGTAATATTCTCCTATTTACATTTGTAAAAAACGTGTCTTCACTTTCGTATTTATTATTATCACGAAAAATTCTATTTTTCAATTCCGTACAATAATAATAATTTCGATCGAAATAAAAAAATCGGGTGAAAATTGTTCGAGATTTATCGCAATACGGCTGAAGGATAATTAATTTCGTATTTATTATTATCACGAAAAATTCTATTTTTCAATTCCGTACAATAATAATAATTTCGATCGAAATAAAAAAATCGGGTGAAAATTGTTCGAGATTTATCGCAATACGGCTGAAGGATAATTAATTTCGTATTTATTATTATCACGAAAAATTCTATTTTTCAATTCCGTACAATAATAATAATTTCGATCGAAATAAAAAAATCGGGTGAAAATTGTTCGAGATTTATCGCAATACGGCTGAAGGATAATTAATTTCGTATTTATTATTATCACGAAAAATTCTATTTTTCAATTCCGTACAATAATAATAATTTCGATCGAAATAAAAAAATCGGGTGAAAATTGTTCGAGATTTATCGCAATACGGCTGAAGGATAATTAATTTCGTATTTATTATTATCACGAAAAATTCTATTTTTCAATTCCGTACAGTAATAATAATTTCGATCGCAATAAAAAAATTCGGGTGAAAATTGTTCGAGATTTATCGCAATACGGCCGAGTGATAGTTAGGTTTCGTATTTATTATTATCGCGAAAAATTCTATTTTTCAATTCCGTACAGTAATAATAATTTCGATCGAAATAAAAAAAATCGGGTGAAAATTGTTCGAGATTTATCTACAGATTTTTACCGCAATACGGCCGAGTGATACGGTCGATCGTCGATGGAAAGGATAAAACGCACAAAATATATCGGCAAATACTCGACGAGCATCGCGCACGAATCGAGTCAGAGAATGGATACAAGATCGATAGTTTTTTGGCGGCATTCGACGAGCAAATGAGGAAGAAAAATACCGCGGAATTCGGATATTTCACGGAGCCACAGCTTTATCACTTGCTTGCCGATCTGTTCGGCGCCGGGACCGACACTACATTGACCACCCTTCGTTGGTTTCTCTTGTTCATGGCNTAAATAATAATAAACAATTTTTCCATAGGAAAAAGTACAATCGGAAATGGATCTGTGCTTGAAGGAAGGAGAGCAGCCTACGTTGAATGACAGAATCGCCATGCCTCGTCTCGAAGCAGCCATAGCCGAGGTGCAAAGGATAAGGAGCGTAACCCCTTTAGGTATACCTCACGGAACATCAGAGGTATTTATCCGAATATATTAATCAAGCTGTATTAATAAAACTTGTCTAATTTTGATGGATATATAATTTGTCGTCCAAGGATGTGCAAATAGGTGGTTACGATATACCGTGCGGCGCCATGATCGTGCCCATGCAGTGGGCCGTCCACACAGATCCCGCTTATTGGCACGACCCCCTCGAATTTCGACCCGACAGATTCCTGTCCGACGATGGAAGTTTCTTTAAACCCGAATCCGTTTTTCCCGTTCAAAATGGTAAAATCCAACTTTTTTTTTTTTTCTAATATTTCCTTTTTTTTTTTTTTTTTTTCATTTATTTTTCGTTATTTCAAAGGGAAGCGCGTTTGCGTTGGAGAGGAATTGGCTAGAATGATACTGTTCCTGTTTGCCGGGCGAATCCTGCGTGCGTTCGTGGTGTCCGTACCACAGGACGAGACGGCCGATCTCGAAGGCGAGTGCGGTATCACGCTCGTCCCGAAGCCTCATCGGTTGGCGTTTATCGAGCGGGATCGATAAAAATTTTCGTTTCTTCCTTTTTTTCTATTTTTTTTTTTTTTTTTTTGTAAATTTCGCGGAAATAAATATCTTTTGAAGATTTATTCGGCGGGACGATCGTTTAGAAAGCTTTTACGTTCGATGTCGACGGATGGCTTTCGTTTCTCCTCTTCTCGATCCCCTCCTCATATTTTTCCCTCTTTTTTGCTGGTCACTTTTTTCTTTTTCTTTTTTTTTTTTTTTTTTTTTTTTTGTAAATTTCACGGAAATAAATATCTTTTGAAGATTTATTCGGCGGGACGATCGTTTAGAAAGTTTTTACGTTCGATGTCGACGGATGGCTTTCGTTTCTCCTCTTCTCGATCCCCTCCTCATATTTTTCCCTCTTTGTTGCTGGTCACTTTTTTCTTTTTCTTTTTTTTTTTTTTTTTTACGTCTCTTTAGGCACCTACCTGCTGCTCCTTTCATCCCAAGCTCGTGTATCGCCTATCATCCCAAAGCCCAATTTCCGCCCACATTCTCATCCTTTCTTCCACTTTTTCTTTAATCGTCCCTTCCACGATTGGCGCGGAGGAAGACAGATCTTTTTTAGACCAGATTTCGATCGATTTCGAGTATTATAATAATAATAATAATATAATATAATCTGGTGGAGAAGGGGGAGGACGAGGAAGAAGTCGTTGAACGGATATGTGAATGGATGTACAAGAATAAAAAGAAAAAAAGAAAAATGAAAAGATTGTAATCTTCAATTCAAAGAGAGAACTATGAATATAATGGTAACGTTAGTTTCCATCGCGAATACGATTGTCGAGTAAATCGACTGTGACACGCGCGCACAACAAAAAACACATACACGTACACAAACACACGCACACGCACGTATATATATATATATATATATATATACTGCAATTGATTTTTCGGTTACAATACAAAAAGAAAAAAGAAGGATTTATTTCGCGCGACAAGGAGATACGCGAAATTACATACAAAATTGCGACCAATTATTCGAAAAATGGCGAATGGCGTCGAATAAGGTTCTTTTTCTTCTTTTTCTTCTTCTTTCTCGTCTTTAATAAGAAGGGAAATACAACATTAAGTTAACAGATTCGGCGGTCGGCGGGTGAACACAATGCGGTGCTCCGAATGATCCATGAGCATGCCACATTAAAAATTTCTTTCTACATAATATAACGATAGAAGAAAACGGGGGAAGTATCGACGCGCCAATTTTCTTCACGTCACGTGGAATTTACAAAAAGAGAAAAAAAAAAAAAAAAAAAAAAATTTTACCCCGGGAAGCGGGTTGGAGAAGAAATGTTTTTTTTTTTTTGTTTTTTTTTAACATCTAAGGGAAGCGTCTAGAAAGAGAAAGAAAGAAAGAAAAAAAAAAAGAAAAAACAATTTACTTCTACAACCCCCTCCACGCCGTAAAGTTCTTTTTTTTTTTTTTTAAAATCAAAGGGAAAGGTCTAAAAAGAGAAAAAAAAAAAAAAAAAAAAAAGAAATATCTTTGGAAATGGATTTTACGATCGCGATATCACAGGGATCTCGAGGGATCCCATGTCCTAAATTCGAAATTCACAGCCTTAATCTTTGCCCGCACCCAACGGATCGAGTTCGATGTCGGTGTTGAATTCTGAAGCGCTACGTAACTATACTGTGGTGTCGCAAGAATCTCGTTCTAAACTTTCACGAAAATCACTGTTCTAGGTCAACAGCCGCGTCCATCCGGCGAGCAGCCCTACGATCTAATCCATTCGAATTACGAGCCACGAAATCGCCGTCGAAAACTTTTACAGCTATAACAAGGGAAGAAGAATTCCGGGACGGAAATAATCACGCGCATACTCTTTCGCCGCCTGTCATCGATATCCATAATTTATATATATATATATGTATATATATATGTATATATATATGTATATATATATATGTATGTATGTATATATGTATGTATATAATTATCGCGCGCGCTATAACACAATTAATAACACGATATCGATACGATTCGTGCGCACACTCACAGTATATACTTGTTACGTGATTTTTTTTCTTTTTCTTTTTTTTTCTTTTTTTTTTTTTTATTAACAACTCGTTCACGCACCTTAAAATTCTTATTCTAATATTAGCACTAACCTACCACTAACTCATACAATCATCAAACGATATTTTTATTGCCGTTATTGCTCGTTATTTCTATTATTGTCGTTACTTCTAATGTCCACTATATATATATATGTATATGTATATATACATATATATAATTGTCGCTGCTACATAGATTTTTTTCTATTGTTACCACTACCACACTACCAAAGAACTACTATTACCGTTATCGCTACTTATTCCTAATACCGTTACTAATAATTAAATCGTCTACTATTATTTATTATTTACAAGTCTTTTGTCTCTTGTTCCTATCGAGACAGCGTCAAGGCAACGATTATCCTCGAACTCGTCGCCGAATCGGCTTTTTCACCAACACTTTTCACAAACGAATTTCGAATCTTTCGTTCGAATCGAAAAAAAGAAAAAAGAAACGCGAGGTTTTCTTTTTCTTTTTCTTCTCTTTTTAAGATCCAACACGACGCAACATTTTGTAACGCTAATGACTAAATAAGGAGCGAAACGCTGTCGCCGCTCGGCTAATTCGAATATTTCTTAACGAATAAAAATATAGAAAGAATGAAACGGAAAAGAGAAAAATCGAGAAAGTTTTCTCGACGATACGAAACGTAACGATACAACAAGATATATAATGTAACTATATTCTTAGAAAAAAGTAAGAGCAAACTAATAACAACAAACCATACCACGTATATGGTGCACAATGGACGAATTGGAGGTTAGGATTGCGGCTCGATTTGGGAGCCATCGCTCGGTCTCGTTAGGAACGATTTTATACGTGCTCCCGTCGATCTTTATAGGGCTTTTTTTTAAAAAGGAAAGAAAGAGAGAGATAGAGAGAGAAATGGAAAAGTCAATGGCTGCCTATATTCCGCAGAATGGCACCGGGGGAGATCATATCGTTATTCGTATCCTCGATGAGGTCGAGATTTCTCGGTAAGAGACAAACGTCGAAGGGGTCTGGCGTGACGGTCACACCGGCATTGCCGCGCAAACTCGGCAAGGACGAGCCCTGCGGCGATCGCAGCTCGAACGTGTGCATCAACGAGCTGAAGAACAAGAATAACTCCATGCGTGCGAGCACATCGCCAAGGCACATACGTCTACCGACACCGAAAGGCATAAAGTATTCCGGTTTCTGGACTTTACCTTCGGCCGAGAGGAACCGACTCGGTCGAAACTCCTCTGGTTTCTCCCAAAGTTCGGGATCCATGTGCACGGCGTGCAACAGCGGCACCACTTGAGATCCTGCCGGTATCGTGTAACCGTGTAACGTCACGTCCCTGAAAAAGGGAAAAAGAAATATTCGTTTTCAATCCCCAATTCTTCTCTTCTATTAAATTTTCGTTTTAATTATTTATTAAATTATCGTCTACCGTGTTCCAACGGATTAGATCAGAGGGATTAAACTCTCTTCGAAATCGAGTCGCATTTCGAAACGAGATCTCTTTATCTGTTTTGAATTTTCAATCACGATGAATTGAATGAAAATCGAGTTTAAGTAATTTATTTACTCGGTCGAAATGCAAATCGTTTTTATAATCTTCGTATATCTTCGATGATATTAAGAAGAGTCTGATGCGAAATGATTGGAGAATAGATGACGATCATTATACCTCGTGGTGGCATGAGTGGTCCCCAAAGGGACGACGCTCGATCGTCTGAGGACCTCGAGTATCGTTGCCTCTGTTATCGGAAGGAAAGGGAGATCCTCCAAGGCTGGCATCCTCGATTTCCCCACCACTTGATCCAATTCCTCCTGTACGGCGATCGCCGCGTCCGGATGATGCAGCATCAAGATTATCGCCCATTCCAACGTGGTCTTCACCGTTTCCATCCCGGCGGAGAACAAGTCGCCGAGTATCTGTTGCATCTGACGATCTGGAGCGATAGAATTTAAAAAAATAAGTAAATAAGAAGAAGGAACAAAGATGGAGGAAGATGGGCAATGGCTTCTCACCGTGATTCTTTCCTTGGAAAAGGGCGGTGGCACGACCCTCCCCCTTCGCTTTCTCGATCTCGAGCAAGTACGCGTCGACGAGATCTCTCATTGTCCCCTCGTCGAAAGTCGCGCGATGCTGATCGACCGTCTCCTGAAAGAAACCGGCCATTTCCGCCCGATTTTCCGCCAGTTTGTTTCGAACCTTCTGCAGGCAGGGCAGGTAACGCATCACGGGGATGAAGTTGACGGCGGCCATACTGCCGAACAATTTGAACCCCTCCTCGATCAAGTCCATAAATCTTTTGAATCTGGCGTCGCCATGCTGGAATCGTACTCCCATTATGATGGAGCAGATAACGTTGCTGATCGACATTCCAAGGGAAGCCGAAACGTCGGTCGGCGTGCCACGTTTTGACGCCAATCCACGAAGGAACGTTTTCACTTCGCGCTGAAATGAAATTTAATCACGTTTTAAACCCCTTTCCAATAATATCATATCATATAATATAACAATAATATCGTACGATATTATATCGAAACATAAATAAATTCAAACGAATAAATTCGAAGATAACGAAAATACGTGTGTATAAATATATACACGGAAATAAAAGAAGCAAAATATCGAGAAAGGGGAACTCACCATGATTCTCGATTCCATAATTTTCTTTCCACCGCCCATATAAGTCATGCCGAAACCTCTTAGCTTATCGTGAAGAAATTTTCTTTGGTCTTTCCACATAGCACCTTCTGTGTTGATTATACCTACGAGAAAAGTTTAAAAACAATTTTTAAACTTTTTTGAAAATGATCCGTCAAGTTCAACATTATCCACAAATTATCCAAATGGCTACGAATTTTGTCTATCGATAACCCACGAGATTTGAAGAGTAATTTGAGGAGCAGTTCGAATTTAAATTAAAATTAAAAGAGGATTATACCAGCGAGAGAGAGGAGAAGAGGAGAAAGAAAGAAAGAAGGAAGGAAGAGGAAAGCAGTTGGAGAAGAAAAAGAGAGAGTTCGCTGTTTCTATAGCGACAAGATTAAACGCGTGCACGTAGCGGCGCGAACGCTTGATAAAAGGGAGAAAAGAAAAAAGGGAGGGGAGAAGAGAGAAAGAGAGAAAAAAAAAAAAAAAGAAAGGAAGAAGAGAAGAGCAAGATCTCGTGGGAAAGCGCGTCAAAGTCAAAAATCTTGGGAGGTAGCGAGAAATCGAGATAGAGAGGCGGCGGTTATCGAGCATGACAGTCGTCACGTGGTATATATACACTTACCATATCCGCCGAGGATGTTGATGAACTCGGTATGCGGTCTGCCAGTAAACTCTTCCCGACGAAACGTGTCGCGAATCGTACGATGATCGCTGAGAACAACCACCAGTTGCGTACCAAGCCGGGCACTGAACATTGGACCATATTTTTTCGCTAGCTCTCCGTACCTGAGGTGAACGTCGCCTTTCAGGAATGGCAAATAACCGAACACGGGTACACCCCAAGGCCCTGGAGGCAGAGAGCGCACATACCTGAGCCATTGCAAGCATCTAGCCACCAGCAATACACCTAGGAACACGAGAAACGTGCAAAGGACCTCGATTCTCGTGCCGCCCATTGCTTGCCAAGCCCATTGTGCAGCGTGCTCCACTAACATCGCGCGACGTTTCAATTACGCCGTACAATTTTTCAACAACGCCTTTGTCCTTTCCGCCCGATAAATGTATCTTATCCTCTTCGTATCCACGCACGCCACGATCCTTCTTCCGAGATTTTAATTCGATTCTATCGACAACCTTGTCGACTATACTCTTTCTTCCTTCTTTTTGCAACTTTTACGCCTCTATTCCAATTGTGCCTTCTTTCCTCTTCCTTGTTCCTTGCCCTTCCTTTTCCTCCCTCCCTTCTCGCCACTTCTCTTCCCGTTGCTCTTTCCACCTTGATTTTCTTCGA